ACCAGTGCGGTTCAATATTGGATAATTTTACTGACTTCTATTCGGTTTTTGTAAAAGCTTCGTATTTTTGGTAAAAAGTTTAGTTGCTATGGAATCCACTAACCACATTTGTTAGTTTTTGCATATTCGATAACCGCCAGGAACAAATGCATTTAGAACATAACTTATAAAAGAAGACTACAGCATATTTTGATATATAGTGTGGATGATACATTTGTTTTATAAAGAATGGACAATAAAAAGTATTTAAGAGGCTTTTGAAGAACAACTAACCTATTGAAAATACATTTCTAAAGGGATTTATTCTCATTAACAGTGTCTAAATGACGACATTAATTACAAAATAGTCACTCCACTTTGACATTAACCCTTTGATTTCCTTTTAAAAAGGAAATTTCAGCCAACGACAGAAATATGGTTGATATTTTCAGATGAATCGATAACAAAAAAGAATGATAATGCAACAGCTAATAGTAATACTAATGTTAATAATAATCACATAAAACAAGTCTACTTATTAAATATTCACCGGGCATTTCTAAACATTATTTTTTTTATTCAAAATGGCGCCCGTAGTCTGGTATGCAAGCTGTCTATCCATGGATGAAATGGCGATAAAATTATGCTGTTCTCAGAACGTAAAGAATGAAAGTGGTTCTCTGACAGGTGTAGAGTGCTATTCAAATGCATTCGTGTTGGAGGAAATAAAATAAAAATGTCTTCTTGCAGAACAATAAGAGTAAAAAAAATTGAAGGAATTCCATATCGCAGCATTGTTAGCGAAAAGTGGACATTAGTTAAATGGGGGAGTTGCTCTTTCGTGGTTCAAACGAAAAGACGAGATAGCTATTTACGCTCAGCTTAAATTTTTTATTAGCTCTCAATCAAACATGTCAGAGAACGAAAACAGTGATCTTTTTTTTGTCCAAAGTAAAGTATCCTATCAGCGTATTTTATGATAGATGATGAAGATTTATGATATAAAAGATTTTGACAAAGATGATAATGACCAATACTTTTTTAAATATAGTTATTTTATCAGCATTCTTAATATTAAGAAAATATTCTATAAAGATCTAAAAGATTTTCACCAAGGTGATAATGATTGGCATTTTTAAATAAATGTATTAATTTCTATTAATCCGAAAGATTTGTATAATTTTTAAACGTTAGTTAAAGAGATACAAATCTGTTGGATTAATAAAAAATATTTATAATTAATAAAAATAAAAATCCATTCTAAAAATTCTCTTTGATTACGTTTGAATAAGAATCTATGTGTAGATATGAAAAAACTTCGCTTGAAAGCATGAAATTTGATTCGCCTGCCTGTCTATTCCTTTGCGGACAATGCTTTCATCTTCAAGGACACATGGCCCAGTGGATAAAAGCGTTGGTTAAAGTAATCCAGAGACTTGAATCAAAGAGTTTTGAGTTCGATACCTAGCTACAGTAAACTAAAACTTGGAGAGTTGAATTAAAGGGAGGATAACAGAGATATCCTGGGACTAGAACAATCTACCCCGGTGAAGTAAATAAAGGGTTCTGTTCGGAATTTCAATTACCTGAAGAAAGCCAGGGCGTACAACGGCTGAAACGTTGTGAATATGGCAACAAAGATGAGAACAGTCCAAACACTCTAAATAAAATATTTGTTCAACAAATGTTGGAAATTTATGCGTTAGCCTAAAGCATTACATATCCATTTTCCGGTTCATCACCTCTTTTCATCCAGACAACATTATGTGCAAGCATTTGAATTTCACACAATAGCCAAACTAAATAACCGGGCGGGGTTACCACAGGTGGCCTTGTGTTTTCTAACAGTCGATGATGCTGTAGAGATACCATAAATGCATAATCAATGAGTCGTTTGTTTATTATTGAATTTTTATTGCCTTTCTTCTTTTGGTCCGGCAAACGTATAAACCGGCATATCTCTGAAGCTTGGTATTCCGGAAAATTAATGGTCTATCTCTAGTTCGAAAACACTAAAAAAACATTCAATAAACTATGTCGTCTCAGAATTCATATTTCTAACCGCAAATTACGCCCCACTCCCCTTAGCCTTCCTGGGTATGACGATAAACTACATCCGGCAGCGGGGCCTCTGACGGGAAGGTTTTGAGGAGCGTGAAACCACCTCTTAATTGCTGTTGTTCCCAGATCAAACCTGATGAGGGGGGGGGTAACGCCTGTTAAAAATAGTAAAAATACCAGCAATACATTTTCATAGTTAAAAAAAAAAGTCACAGCCTAAATTAAATTTCCTTGGTATTTAATAAAAGGGGTGATTGATAATGATGCCCCGGTTGGAATTTTTCTTTTTAAAAAATCGTTCTGATCCGTCTATTTGAAATTAAAAGTAGGTATAAGAAAAGAGAAAAAGTGCCCAGACCCCACGACATGTTCAACTGGCTTTAGAATCCACCGAACCACTCTGATTATTGCTATGCGGGAGGTGCTGCCGTAAAGTTGGAATCCCTGCGAATAGGCTTACCTCATCACAAACCCCGAACTGCCTGAAAGCAGAAACACAGTGCCGATCAACTGTAATACGAGAAAACGAGAGAAAAAAAAAAAACAGATACTACACTGATCCACAATTTACTTATCTTCACACGGTGGCTGGATGTTACACAAGGCGAGTTTTAATGTGGATTGCCTTACATATAGATCAAGGACTAAAAGTCTCAATCCCTGCGACTGTTGTCACGAATCCTGCCTCTTTAGTGTAATGAGGAAGGTGCTGTTGCAGGGTTGGAATCTCCGGGACCAGGTTTCCCTCATAACTAAGAAAAAGAGAGAACACATACTACACACTGAGCCGCTATTTACTCGCCTCCTCACGGTTATGGGATGTGACATAAGCTCGTTTTTAATGTAGGATGCTCATACGCATACATATAGATAAAGGAGATAAGGTCCCTGAGACTCTCTCATCTTTGCATCGATACCTCCACACTATCGCAACGAGGAATATGCTCTGGCATCCCTCATAGAAGAGAGAACAGTATGATCCTCGGCTGGGGGACTGAAGGGTGACATTTTGAACTTAGGCATCGTGCAGAAATGCTTCGATCCTCGTTACTTAAATTTAAATAATATTGTTACTTTTTATGGGTATTAATATGCTTATATATATATATATATATATATATATATATATATATATATATATATATATATATATATATATATATATATAGTTGTTTTTAATTAAATTGTTCAGAAAATAATGTCCGATTTTAGCATCAACCTTTTTCTAATATCCTATAGTAGTTACACAAATATATATTACTCATTCCTGATGATTAAAGTGTCATCTTTGCTAATTTAATATCAATCTCTTATTTTCACACTTTAACTTATAACATCATGTACTTTTTACCTTGAACATGAAAAAAAGAGATGCGTTTAATTTTTTGCATGAATTCAAGCTTGGCCATAATGCTTCACAAAAGTTTACCAGAATTAACAGAGCACAGGATAAAGGCTCCACCTGTGATTGCACAGTACAGCGCTGCTTTCTGAAGTTCCTCAGTGGGGATATGAGTCTTGGGATCATGATGGGAGAGAACCTACATCGGCAATTGACATCTGAAAAGACTAGTCGAACAAAACCTACGTCCAAGTGTCAGTGAAGAGTCTCAGATAATGGATGTCAGCATTTCAACAATATCGGACCATCTCAAGGACATGGCGGAAAGGATCTACTCGTAATCGGATAGTATGCCGTTGGCTTCTGAAGTTCCGGGAGTCCGCTATTACGGTTATCCATTACAGCTTTCTGGAATCTAACCAGAGCATCACCGTCAAAGTTTACTGTCAGCAACTGGATGAAATACGCACCCAGTTAATCAAAATGCGACAGGCACTGATTAATCGACGAGGCCCCATTCTGTTTCATGACAATGTTCGGCTCCATATTGCCAGGATGCCACCATAGAAGCTCACCGACTTGATATACGAGACTTTGCCACACCCACCATATTCTTCTGGTCTGTTGCCCATTGACTACCACTTTCTCAAGCATCTTCATAGTTTATTTTTCAAGCCAAAAGATATTCTGCTGCTGCAAAAAAAAAGCTGCAGAAACTTCATTCAATGATTTCTTGGCGTCGACACATTTAAGGTTTTATCATAAAGATAGCAGAACTATATAGATGTTCAGGGTTGCTATTTTGACTGATTTCAACACTGTTTAAATACAGTAATTCGGGAATAAAAGTTGATTCTAAAATCGGACATTACTTTCCGAACAGCGTTATCTTATGCTGCTGTTTTGTGGTCTTTCTCCCAGCGACTATAATGATTTTTTCCTCGGAACCTTCCAGAGAGCAGGTAAATATCTTTGAGGACCTCAACACGACAAATATGTTTTATATCGTCCACATAAAAGCATGCAACTTTATATTGTATATTTCCTTCTTTTTGTTGTCATTTTTCTTCTTTTTTTTTACAAAGACTTAGTTTATATACACAAATCATTTCGAACTGTTGCTCTAATCTTAAATTATTATACATGTTATTATAGACAAAACGTTTCAACCAAGTACGCTCTGGCTATCACCAGGTGTCTAATATGGGATATCTAATGGTTACCGTGTTATTTTTCCCCTTTGATAACAGTTATTATTCTTTCCTGTTAAATTAGTGTTTTACTACCTGATCCAGGGATTGAACCCACAACAAATAGATGATAGTATAACATATTTAATTAACTCCTATTGAGTTGATGGCTTTTTTGGCCAATAGGATGAACAGTCGGATGTCAGTTTACCTGCAGATAAAAAGAAACAATTCATTTATTAACATGAAGTGCTGAAATTGATGCATGCAAGATTTCACAGTTTTAGCATCACTCCTTCATAGTCAGCCTATGAAGTTTTCAGCCTACCCGCGTATATTGAATTGTCAGATTGATTATTTTTCTACGATTTATCAACCCTTTCCGATTATCAGAGCCGTTATCCATTATCCCACCTGCACACCCGAACTTACAGAACCTGGTATTCCCAAGCGGTCACCCATCTAAGTACTGACCAGGCTTGACGTTGCTCAATTTCGGTGATCATACGGGAATGGGTATTTCAATGTGATGCAGCCATAAGCCTCCCTTTAATATCAGAGGATACTTGGGCGAAACATTGTGTATTTATCGATTTACTAAGTGTAGTTTAGATATGGCAAAAGGCAGAAAGTATGCAACACTCAGTAGGGACCGAACTCACTACTCAGTCGTAATTGATCTAATGAAACAACCTTACTAACTACTAGAACACGTCGAATTTCGCAAAATGATTTTCTAAGCTTAGCTTAGATGTTGCCCAAGGGCCGAACGTATGGGGCACCCAGTGAGGATCAAACTCACTCTTCAGTCGCAATTGATCTGACGAGACAAACTGGCTAACCATTACACCCCATCGAAGTGCCAAATAATGATTTTCTAAGGGTAGATATTTCACAAAGTATGGGGCATTCAGTGAGGATCGAACTCACTCCTAATCGATCTAACCAGACAAGCTTACAAACCATTTCATTATGTCGAAGCACCCAAAAATGATTTTCTAATCACAGGTTAGATGTGGCAAATGGGCAAATGTATTAGGTTGGTGCAAAAATAATGTCGTTTTTGACGTTTAACGTCAACGAAAATAATGTCGTTTTTTGACGTTTAACGTCAAAAAACGACATTATTTTTGCACCAACCTAATATGAAGCACCCGGTGAGAAAAGGAATGACTCCACGTTGTAACTGACCTAGCTAAACAGGCTTGTTAACCAATACACTACGTCAAAATGCCCACGTTGCGTCTATAATAGCATCTATAATGATCAAAATAAGCACAATAGTTGGAAATAATTAAAGTCTATTGACAATTACTCATCAGAAAATGAAATCTAAAAAGAACAAGTTACCATGATAAAATATGGCAATTAGTGCTTTTTTTTATCTGACTCCCACGTCCGTACCAAATTAAAAAGAAACGAAAAGAATCTGACCCCAGTTTTCATTGCCACGTTATTACAGATCGAATCAGTGAATGTATATTTTTTTTTTTTTGTTTTTCTTTCTTGTAGCGTTTCAGATATCTCATTACACCTGTACCAGAGAAGAGAAGAAAGAAAACCGGCAAATCGAAGAAAACGAACGCACGTATATAATATCTGTTTCCTCCCTTTTTTTAGCGACTGAAATACTTGTTGACACCGGTTCCGGAGAAGAAGCGCAAAAAAACAGGTAAATCACAGAAAACCAATGTCCGAATAAACGGAGGAGCCGGAGACCAAGTGTAGACGGCGTCACAGGACGCCTCCTCGGCCGCCCAACGCCGTCTGCGTCAAACCCCCCCTCGGAGATATCCGTGCAACTTCTTGCCCAGCTATCTCTTGAGGACAGGGGGGGTGGGGTAAAGAGGGAGGGAGGGGGGTCGAATGTTTGAAATTGTCTGGAATTATTGTTTCGTTTTTTTTTGTTTGTTTGTTTTTTTTTTTTTGTTTTTTTGTTTTTTTTAGACGGCTGGACAACTAAACGTAGGCCATTAGTGTTTCACAAAGATTTCACCATTTTCCCTTTTTTTTTTTTCTTAGAAATACCTGCCTGAATATCTTCGTTTAACCTATCTAATTACATATCTATCAGCGTGCCTGTCTGTTTATTGATCTATGTAATCAGCCCAACATTTTATTTAACACATATACACAAACATATACATACATACATACATACATACATACATACATATATATATATATATATATATATATATATATATATAAGGTATGTTTTTTAGGCAGAAAATATTCATCCAAACAAATTTGAATAAATACAGCCAACAACGACTGTCTGTTTAATTTCTTATCAAGTTTTTAAAATTTTCGAATACGGTCTTGCATATTGGGGTCGAAATTGTGGATTAGCTGTCCGAAGTTCATTTTTGTTTTGTTCAAATACTACATTTGGCCGTCTCAGCCATTTTCAGAAAATATATATATATATATATATATATATATATAGATAGATAGATAGATATATATATATATATATATATATATATATATATATATATATATATATATATATATGTATATATACGTATATATATATATATATATATATATATGGATTAAATAAGATATATTTCTCAAAAGAATACGGTATGTTGGAGTATGTATGAAATATTTAATATGGATATAAGAAAAAAAAGAAGATTTTTGTTACAGTTTCGCAACCGTTAACCGCTACACTTGACATCTTATCATCTTTGCTTATTTAAGGAATACCAGGATGTAGCCAAGCGAATCGTGCTTACCACACAAAAATCACATGCTTCTAGAAAATGACTAAGAGAGTCAAAAACAAACATGAACTTCAGACTAAAGTTTATGCACGATTTTGATTCCAATATACAACACCTTATTTGAAAATTGGAAAAATACAATAAAAAAAATTAAGCAGATAAACATTGCCGGCTTTATTTAATAAAATTAGTTTATATACATACATATATTCATATATATTCATATATATATATATATATATATATATATATATATATATATATATATATATATATATATATTGGAAGAATCAGAAGATTCCTTCATATCTCAAATTTTGTATATAATATATTGGGTCCACAAAATAAAATTCTTTTACCAACTGTCTTTTGAAATATACCTTTCAATTATACATATGTATATATGTGTGTGTGTGTGTGTGTATGTTTGTGTGTGTGTGTGTGTGTATGAGAGAGAGAGAGAGAGAGAGAGAGAGAGAGAGAGGGTTTTGTTAAATATGACGGACCAGGAAGTTTTTGCAAGTTTTTTTTAATCAGTTTGTCTCTTATCTTTATTTACAGTTTTTATTTTAAAATGACTAAATGTGCGTGGAAAATGTAAGGAGACTAGAATAACCGAAAAAAAAACTTCCAAAGTTACGTACCCATCATATTCGACAAGCATGTATAAAAGAAGGACTGCTGCTAAAATAGACAGTATATATGTGTGTGTGAGAGAGAGCGTGTGTGAGTGAATGCTGCATATATAAACTCTCTGAAAACATTTAACTATTTAGACGTGTATATACAGTTGTTAATATATATATATATATATATATATATATATATATATATATATATGCCCTAACAATTCCGCTTCGTTTTCGCTCCTTCTTTCTTAATATGTATCAGTCTGTTCTTTTTCTATCTTGGCAATTGTTAAATTCTTTTTGAATACACAAATATGGACAAAAATCATTGATGCTTATTTAAAAAAAAAATGGTTTGCATATATGTAATCTATATGTACATGCATACAAATTATATATACATATATATATTTATGGTGAAACCTGATATTAATGTGCCTGTAATAAGTTCAAATAATACACGTGCCACGTGGCGTTGCAGCCTGCTATGTTAAACAAAAAGCTACCCATAATGCAAAGCGTTGAACAACATGGCGGGGATCCATTGTGTTGAATATGTTGGTAATTTTCAATTAAGCAAAAAGATTTTAAAATGTTGTTAACTTCACAAGTTTAATGAAATAATTTTCGGTACATGTTGTTGAGATAGGAATTGTGTAAAAAAAAAAAATAACATACCACCGGTATATATATCATACTAAATTTTGTATACATTTATATATATAAACGTATATTTATGAATATATGTGTGTATGTATGCATATATACATCCATATCCATATATATACATATATAACTATGTAGACAACATACTAATTTATGTAAATAACATTGAAAACAGCCACTAATAATTTTAATTATATATTTCCTATATTTTCTATGTATATATTGTATCGTTCTAGATTATATAGTAATTTGGTCGACTGCGTTAAATAATTCATGACTAAAGTGAATGGGATATAATTTGGTAAATTACCTACTAATTTACTAACTCATTACTATCTACATTCTACCAATCAACCTTAACAACGCAGACACCTTCATATTTATTTGTCACTGTAGCTTAGTGCCGTGATTGGTCCAAACGTTTAGAAAAAAATCATCAACTTTTGAGGAAGTAAGTGCCAATATCATTACGTAAAATGAAAATTCAATTTCACTCAAATAAGAAAACCCCCGACCTTAAAAATATTATATTACTTAAGGACATGTCATCCTATTTCTCACCTGAGGGCGTAAGTAGAGGTTAATACGAGTTAGTTCCCGTGTTTATTCACTTGCTAATTTTTTTTTTTTTATTTTTTTTTTTTTAGGCAAATAGAATCTTGCTTCCAAATATTGCAGATGGATTTAGTAGCTCCTAAAAGCTGATGTATCACCAGTGTTTATATCTTTTTTTTTATGAAAAAAGAATAATCACGAACAAAACACTTATTTATGGTAGGTGTTAATCGTGTTATCGTCTGTACGATTGCATTTTACTGAATTAGAGATCCAATGAAAATATAAAGTTTTAAGTGCGCATGCGTCCAAATACTCACGTAAATATCTAGTCAACGAGACACACACGCGCTCACCCAGACACACACATACACACAAACACACACACACACACACACACACATATATATATATATATATATATATATATATATATATATATATATATATATATATATATACAGGGTGCCCAGTAAAAAGCGGTAAATTCAGAAAGACATTTATTTAGCTATCATGATTCATTCACAAACTGAGCAATCATCGTAGAAGTTTGAAATGTTTGCCTGAAAGTTCAACACAAAATTGTAAGCGGGGTAACCAGGAGGCAGTAGCTTTGCGATAGTGCCAAGACGAATTTCGTTCCAGGCTTCTGTTAAGTTCCACTTAGATGAATCAATTAAAGCTGGTATTTTCTCAAAGAATAAATTTACCATTTCTTTTTCTTTTTTTTTCTTTTTTTACTGGGCGACATGTATATATATATGTTTACGTTTCCGGTATTAAAATGAAACTAACAGATATAGATTCGAGGAAATATCGAAGAGAGTTGTACATTGAAATTAGGTAACTGAAAATAGCTTCAGCATGATGCTCTCCCGTAACTACATTGGTAACGGCACTCTTTGTTTACAGGAGTGGTTTCGATGGTGTAAAAGTCGTATGCA